GGAGTATGAAGGAAAACCGTGACTTTGTTAAACTTGTTCTGCATGGTCTTACATGATTCTGCAGTTATAAGCATGACTCTGTAAAGGTAAATACATATTTATTTTGAATTCTTTTAAGAGATTTTATTTATAGAAAAATATTATTTGGGCAATTGTTATAGTTATTGGATATTAATATAGAGTACTCAGTCTTTTATTTGCTTGGTGTTGATAAGTTATATTTTATAACCACTTTATTGGGGAAATTGCATGCCTTTGTATTATGTCCATTTTCCAGCCTCATTTGTATCTGAAGATGCTTGCACCTTAAATATTAAAATAAATTTTGTAATACATAGAAACTTCTTATTTATGATGTTGTGACTTCTGAAGAATTTAAATAGAAAAATTGACAAAATGCTGTGAATAACATTTTACTGTAATATATCTTTCAATTGAGTATATTTTGCAATATCTACTTGTAATATAAGGAAAGGAAAACCATTGATGTGGAGGAAAGCTATAGCCTTCAGATAGAAATGGTTTACCATTGGTTATCATCATAAGCTCAACCATAGTTCATAGTGATCAGACAGAAAAGACATCCTGGTTTATTTGACAAAATTGAGATAAGTTTTAATGAAACTGAGAGATCACTCGGATTTACTACTGAATGGTGTAAGCCAGAGCACTAGATCATGCTTTGATCATCGTGTTCAAGATTAACACGTGTATCCATGTGTTTTCAGAATATGTACTCATTCTGAAAAACATTTGAAACTCACACTAGGCAAAATATTGTGAGTCACTAATTAGTAAAAGACTGAAGCCATCTAACAGAAATACATTTGTTAAGCTCTGAGCTTGTGAACCTGATGTTTGATTACTCTTGAGGACCCTGAGGAATTCTTTTTCTTCTCTTCAAAACAGGGGCCTGACGGATTACCCATGCCTGGCTGTTGGCAAAAGGTAGGACTTAGGGATGTTTTCTTCTTTAAATTTTTTCTTTTTTAAAAAAAAAAAAAAAAAAAAAAAAAAGGCACTAATCTTGACCTGGCCCTTTCCATTCTGAACAGATTTTTTTACATTTCACATTCTTAAGATTGTTTGGTTATTGGATATTGCAAAGCAAAAGATGCCAGCTCTGGAACAACTTTGAGGAATGTGATTTCCTTCTAAACTGATGAGTGAAAACAGTTCTTAATAAATATTATAAGCCAGGACCTCCTTTATCTAATCCTTCGTTTGCAATGGAAAGGGGCAGCATATCTGAATGATGTGGTTTGCTTGTCTCTCAGCAAACTGTTTGTCCTCTCACTGTTTAAAATCATTTTTAATTGTGCTCCTCTTCATATCAATTGCATTGACAAGTATATGGTCGAACCCTGTCAATACTAGGCACAAAACCAGGAAAGCAGAAGATATAACCGTAACATTTTCAGTGATGCCTTGATTTATTTGGGAAAGCTTGATCCAGTTTAAACTGGTGTCCCTGGTGACATCAGTTATTCTGGCCTCTTCTTGTGGCCTCCCACAGTCAGGGTCATGTCCTCCATAGAGAACTGTGCGCAAAGGCTGTGTGATAAGTCCTGTCATTCAGGTGGTATCACTTCAGTGAATCCTAGAGGTGAGGAAACCATTTCGGGAAAGTGAAAAACCTTCCAAGAGCACAAAGCTAGTGTTGTAAGAAGACTCAGAGAGGGACACCAGGGGGAATAGTGGCACAGCGCCTAGCAGGCAGGAGTCTGCATGTTCTGCACTGCCCAGGGAATGCCAGATCTTCACACAGTAGTGGTGTGAGCCTAGTGTGAAGGGCTGTGCAGGTGGCTAAGGAGCAAAGGAGGTTACAGTCGCCAAGTTGCTTTGATGATTTCAAAATTTTATCTCCAATAGCTTGTGGTTTCTCCAGTAATTGTAGACAGTCATACTTCACTGGCAAAATTAGAACAAACTGTAAAAGTGCCGAAATATGAGCAGCTGCTTCTCAAGTCAGCAACTCGGCCAGCCGGGGGGAAACCTATGGAAGTCTCTTTCTCAACGTGTTTCACACACTCAACCACGGAAGGAAAGGCCTTCCCCTTAACAGCATCATTTATTTGATAGCTACCCACACTCTGCTTCAGCCTATCAGATAATTACCTCAGTGGCATCCGAGGTGAGGAGGGTCTCAGGATATGACCCTTTTGTCAGATTCTTCTTCACCTGCTAAAATCATCCTCTCAACTAGCATAACTCCGGGTCACAGAAATTGTAATACCTTCCTGTGGTAGGATCATCATTTGTGCTCTAATCTTTGCCATGTAATTTAATAAGACAATGATTTTTTTTAATCTAGAGTTTCAAAAAGTTATTTCCACACCCTTTGACACCACTCAAAACTTGAGTTGCTATTGACTTGGGCCACTTCTAAATCATTTCCCTTTCGTAAAGGCATAAAACTAATAGCAGCGAGTAAAGGGTTTGTCATTTTTTTAGTTTGCGAAATAGACCTGATAGTAATATGAACAGTATGTAAAATGAGACATTGTCCTTGTAAATAGTCAGTTTTCTATAAAATAGATACTGTATTCTATGTAAGATTTAGAATCTCATGAATCTAGCCTCTTCTCTTACAAAGAAAAGTTAACCCAGTAATAAAACTTAAACATTTTTGTTTTGTTTTTTAAGACAGGGTCTCCCTGAAGCCCCAGCTGGCCTGGAACTCTACATAGATCAGGCTGGCCTTGAACTCAGAGATCCAGCTGCCTCTGCTTGGATTAAAGGCATGTGCCACCATGCCTGGCAAAACTTCAGCATTTTTAATGCCTCCATATAGCATACAAGTGCAACTAACTCTGATCAATCTCTTTTGGCCCTCCCCACCACAAAAGAAACCATTAGAAAAATGAAACATTCCCAGATTTCTTAGGTGGTTAATTTAGATATTATCTTAAGCAGTCAATAATTTTAATTGGTGTTACAAATAAAGCTAGTAGATGGCTTTTAGTTAGCCCTATCTTACTAAAGAACTACTATAAACACTTTTGTGGGTTTCCTTTAATGTTTTTTGGTTTGTTTGTTTGTTTGTTTGTTTTGGTCTTTTTGAGACAGGGTCTCCCTGTAGCCCCCAGCTCTCCTGGAACTCACTATGTAGACCAGGCTGGCCTTGAACTCTGCCTCCGAGTGCTGGGATTAAAGGTGTGCACCACCACGCCCAGCTCTTTTAATGTTTTAGTGGCATATGTTAATTGCACATAATGGGTTTCATTATGACATTTCCATACATGCATACACTGTACTTTGACCCTATTCAGCTACCCATTACCCTGTCTTGTTCCCCTCGTACTGATCCCCTTCTTTCCAACTAGTTCCTCTGCTATTTTGGTCTAGTGAGTTTGTTTAGGGTTGCTTACAGGAGCATGGATGCCTTAACAGTTGCTAGACTTCAAAGAAAATGTCTGTCCTTCCCCCCATCAGCCATTAACTGCAGATAGATTCTTAAGGAGGATCTGTCTTCATATGGTGGGACCATATGAGCCCCTCCCCACTCTGTGATGGGATGGTGACAGGTTCATTTTTGTGTGAGTGGTCACAGCTGCTGTGGACTCAAGAGCACAAGGGCTGAGTCATGTCCAGAAGTCAGCATCTCACACCACTTCCTCCAGCTCTTACATTCTTTTATTCATTAAACTGTAGAGTACAGGGGCCAATACCTCATTTAAGATTCAGATGGTGACAGCAGTGTAAGTCACCAATTAACAAGTCCTCTTCACCTGTTACTATCAAAGATAACGTCTTCATGCAAAACTGTTTGATCTGTATAGATTACTCTTTCTAGACATAGTTTTATAAATTTATCAAGACAAGTTGCCAAACTAGAACTGAAGTGTAAAGTACCAGTTTACAGTGCAGTTCATATAGTGAGCAAATAGCAGAGCATATTGGGAAAGTACAGGCTAGGGCTGGAGAGATGACTCGCCATTTAGAGTGCATATTGCTCTTGCAGATGACCTGATTTTGATTCCCAGCTCCCATAACAGGTAGCTTACAACCACCTTTACTCCTCCTCCATGGGATCTGACGCCCTCTTCTGGCCTCAGTGGGCACCTGCACACACACACACACACACACACACACACACATATAGTTAAAAACAAATATTTAAAAGAGAAGAAAACACAGGCTATCAAACTTATCATCCACCCTCATCCAGGGATCAGAAACTAGTCCTCAGGCTAGAGAAGTGGCTCAGTGGTTAAGAGCACTGGCTGCTCTTGCAGAGGACCCAGGTCCAATTCCCAACACCCACATGGCTGCAAACAACTGTAACTCCATCTCCAGGGGATCTGATGCCCTCTTCTGGCCTCCAGGCTTTGCATGACATGAATGTACTTACATACATTCAGGCAGAACACTCATACACATGAAATAACAACAAAAGTATTAGAAGAAGAAGAAGAAGAAGAAGAAGAAGAAGAAGAAGAAGAAGAAGAAGAAGAAGAAGAAGAAGAAGAAGAAGAAGCTAGTTCATAAGAGTCCCTACAGTTTTGCCCTGTAGTATTACACCTTTTTTGTTGGGAATACCCCTCTAAACATTTCTTTCCCCACATAGGGGAATAAGTTTCTGACAAAACTCATATAAATGAGCACTTAGGAGTCTTTTAAATAAATTTTTAGAATCTTATTAAAAATATGAGTCCTTAAAATTCTGTTATAATAAAACCTTGCTCATAGCACCCAACTTACGTCACATTTGAAATTTAAAGTGGGAGTTTGACGGAATGATTCCTCTAGGTAGGCATTGCTTGTGTCAACTTGGAGTGAATGCCATGGCTGAAAGTCAGAAAACATATGACCTACTAAGCACACCTAGTAGAACATGTTTTTCTTGGAGAAAAAGAAAAATAACTGGTTTTCTCTTGGAAGCACTGAAGGGGACTCTGAACTAGTTACCCTGTGGAGGGTGGGGGAATAGACCTTGGTCATCTCGTTCCCCTTCTCTGCATTTTACTTTTCTCATTTTTTTTCTTTGAATAAAACTAAAGGAAATCACTGGGCATGGTGGCACGTGCCTTTAGTCACCACACTCAGGAAGTAGAAGCAGGTAGATCTCCGTGAGCTTAAGTCTGGTCTATATAGTGAGTTCTAGACCAGTCAGGGTTACACAGTGAGACCTGTCTCACCACAAAACAAAGCGGAACACCAAAGAAAGTCTCTAAGAGCTTCTGCATAGGCTGATGTGCAGTGAACACTGATCCTCAGCTTCAGGGCAAACAGAATCTCTGGAAAGATCATCATAATGATGACTCTTCAAAATGAGGAACCAGAAGAGATCTGGGGAGTTTTTGTCAGGGTGGAATCTGTCACACAGTTGGAACACCCATAGCTAGGAGGCCTACTTCACCCAGCCTGCTAGGAGGGAAAGGCTGGCCAACAGAAAGAAGAATCCAGAACAGAAGGTTCATAGAACATTACATGCAAGGAGTTGATCAAAACCACCATCCATCTCAGAATCCCAAGCCATTTGCAGTTGTGTGTAATGCTTGAAGAGATAGTGTAGGATAATAGCACATATGTAATAAAATCACAATTCTCTGCTTTCCCAGAGCAGTGTCTGAGAAAAACACTTATCACAGAGTTCTTAGTGGCAATAGAAAAATGTGGGTTGAACCTAGGATGGAAACTGTCATGATATCCTAGAGTTTAAAAAAGCGGACGTGGGAAACATCTAGTGACCAGTTAGCTTACTGATTTGAAAAAGACTCTATTCAAGGTCCTACCAGCTTTTGTAAAATGAATGTTAATTTGGAACTGTTATCTAAGACTACTAATTCCATATATTTGTCTTTTTGTTGTCTGTTTTTCTGCAGTGATGAATCTAACCCTCCAAGCATGAAGTTGTGTATATAATGGTCCACTTTTTATATTTATAGTTGAAAGCGGAATTACAGATTTTGCAAGTCTGAGATATGTTTACGTAGAGCTGCTTCTCCCTGTTCACAGTAGTACACATGTCCATCTTTTCTCACATCTGAACTTAGCCAATTTATCTAAGTGAGGAGCCTGCAGAAAATATAGATCAGTATCTATATCTTATTGTGTGAATACATATTTATATGGCCATCAGCAATAGAGAATAATTGCTCTTGCTATTTTCCTGTTTGGGGCTTGTTAATTGCATGGACAAAAAGTGCCATGAAATAGTTTACATGAAATTGTGACCAAATATGGACTCAGAGTATGAACATGTGCCATACTGACTGATGGGTTTATTCCCTAGTCTGATCCATTCTAACCACCATGTACTGAAACTGACTAACAGAGCATGGCCTTGTGCCCAGCCTGCTTGTTGTGTGGCTTCAGATGTTAGCATGCTGCTTAGTGTGTTCTCTGATTCCATCTGAGTTTTTATTCCTTTTGTCATCTCAAGGGGGTTACACCGTGGCTTATTGCCAAAAAGAGATAAGTCAGTGGAGAGCGCACACACAGTTGGTCTTGAATTTTGAGGGAGCTGCGGTCCCCCGACTGCAGGTGCACAGCTCCTGGTATTGTGGGCTCGTGTGACCACCCTGGTTCAAATACCTAGGGGTTGAGCCGATGGCTGCCGCTAGTTTTCCTTGGGCTGCTCTTGGCAGTGAAGACAGGAGAAGAGGACCGGTTCAGCATCCTGCACTGTCTTTCATGTGGCCAAGTTGGAAAGAGGTTTACAAGTGCAAACACCCAGGACAGCAATTGGTTTTTTTCCTAAATAAACTGACTTCCAGTAAGTGTTGATCTGGGTGCTTTTTGAAAAGGACAGAGGCATTCAACACTGTCTTGGAGACAGGAGAGCCTTGGAGCAGCAGCCGCTGTTCCTGAAAACAAAGGTGTGGACATCCCATCGGAGCCCTGATTGCTGAGGAAAGAAGCCGTCTCAAGAAGGGACCAGCCAAAATAACCTCTGTGACAGATGCAGGGGCGTTGCCAGGACTGTCTCCACTGAAGCCTGTGGGAAAGCGTTCCTTCCCAGGTTGAGCCCATACCAAACACATTCTACAAGTTCCAGAAACAAAAAGATACTTTTCGTTCTTTCTCCTGTTTCTTTCTTTCTTTGAGTCCAGGAACAGTAAGAAAATACTTACTTCTGTTTTGGTCTCATTGGTTTTTAAACAATGTTTTTATGTTACTTTTTCAGATCATAATAATTTGATACCAATAGTCAAAATAACCTTTGGTTAACACCTTTTTTGTTTTAGATAACTGAAGAGAACATAAAAGAACCTTCATTCTTGCTTAATCATTGTAAAGTATGAAGGTGAAGCATTTTCACTTATTTTTGATTTTACATGGCAAATGTAACATACAAGAACCCCATGTAAAGTTAAGATTTTATCAAATTTGATAGCACGAACTCATTTCTATTTTTATAATTTTTTTCTATACTTAAATTTTTCACATTTTGCTTTTACATTTCTAAATGTTTGTCTTAAACACAGACCAAATCTGAGATCTCAGAAAGCTGTGAAATATGGTTGCCCATTTAAAAAAAAAAAAAGAGTAGGTTTTTTTTTTTTTTTTTAACCTACTTGCTCAAAACTTACCTAGCTGTATTGGACTGGGCATTTCTTTGCACAGTAAAGAGTTGATAGCGTGTTTTGAAATGACTTATTCTAAGTGGATTGCATGGGAAAAAGATTGTCAGAGGAGAGTAAGTCACCCTGTCAGTCTATTAGAGAATTTAATTTCCCTCAATGATTAAATGGCCATTGTGGGGAGATTTTCTAAGGTTTTTATGTTTGGTTGGTTGGTTGGTTTTTGCAGATTTTCATTTCCAAAGGGAAATTAGTTCATTGGCTTAGGATAACAAAAGTAAAGATTAATTTCTAAACAGAGATCCTAAGATCTCTTTCATACTGTGTAACCAAAAGCACAATTACACAAAACAATGTCATCTTTTTTTCTTTACATCAAGTTTCTAAGGTTACATGTTTAAGCTGTTAGATTGATCTGTTTGGTAATCTTTATAGTAACATTCCACACCCCTAAGCCAATTTAGCATTTTAAAAATAATAGCATTTTCTAACAATTTCTTAATGGCATGACTATAGTAAGGTATTTCTAATGCATGAAATTTGTCATAAATTTGAGAAAAAAAGAACCCAAGATTATACATTACCTTCAGAAAAAAAAAACTATAGTTTCCTGAGAAAAGTCTGGTGACTATATTTCTTCTTATCTTGCTCTCTATTCTGGTTGAAAAAGTATTGAGATGGAACTTACACAGCTTTGTCTGAGAATACCTCAACAACAAAAGGAGAAGCACTTAGGTTTGCGCTCTTTAGGGACGATGGCGCATACTGTGTGTACATTGCAGTTTTGCTCATAAGATACATTTAAAGAAGTGTGTAAACTTCCACTACGTTTATTTTCTTGGGACAAAGGGAAAGTGGAAGTCCTCTTTCTTCAATGGAAATGCTAGGTATTAGCCACCAGGGGTAATCTTAAACTTTGGGCTATTAAAATATTTTTAAGCATCCATTTTGTCAGCAAGCTGGATCATTTCTAAATAAATCCATAATGAATTAAGGTTGTTGACATCTATGTTGATAGATAATATATTTTTGTTAAAGAATTCTTTAGGAGAATTGAGAGAAAATATTTGAAACACCCATTGGAAATATGTCAAGGTCAGGTTTTATTTCAGAGAAAATGTCTTTAAAAAATGCAAATTATTAATGTGTTTTGACTTTAAACTGTTTCCCATTTATGTTGGTTGATGCTAATATGTTTCCATCCTTTATTCGTTATGGACAATGCAACTCTACTATGGATAAATTCATTCTCTGTTTAATAGCATTCCTAAACTGTTAGTATATGACTTTTATTTTTGAAGTTCATGAATCTGCTGTCATTGTGGTTTAGTGACCAGCCTTTCATGATGTAATCAGTGTTCCTAAGGAGGGGGTGCTGTGACTTGGGCTGTGGTCCCCTTTATTGATGCCCATTTTGTACCTCATATGCCTTTGTCAATTTTAATTTATCTCATCTTTTTCATTCACCCATTCTTCCACATGTCCACTCCAACTAAGCTTGACACAGCCAGCATTAGAGAGGTCTGCAGAAGCCATGGAGAGCACCTGGTACAAGAATGTACCAGGCTCTCCTGGTTTGCATTTTTTCATTATTAAACACCATCTTGGAGGATTTTTCTTTATTGTGTTATTTTATAGAGAACATTGGAATGTTTTCCATTCCTACCAATAGAAAGTTTTTGTGCTATGACATTCTAGGAGATAAGAACTTACACATCAGATGGTGCGTATATTGCACGTCCCCTTCTACAATATATGTGTAGATCTTCTAACTTAGAAAATGGTCAAATCGGCATTCTATACCTATGGAGAAACTGTCCTCAGTGTCGTTTTTATCACTTAGAAAATGTGCTTAATTTCCAAGTATTCTTTAAAAAATATTACCATGACCGCATAAAAAGTTAACTTTTTAAAATCTTTTCCCCCTACTGTATATTGTCATACCCTGAGTGGGTTTGTCTGATGGTTGTTTAATATCTTATAATAAGTGATCATAAGAAACATGGATGCTGACATTTGAAACCTTGATTTCTTCATTTCTTCATATTCAAATTATTTTGATGTTTAATGCTACCAAAATATAGAATTTTCTAATTTCTACAAACAAACAAAAGCAGGGCTATCTCTAGGAAGTCAATGTTCATAGGAGCCTTGCTGTTCTGAAAATATTGAAAACAGCCTCCTGTGATGCTGGTGAACGATATACCTGACCAATTGTGATTCTCTAAACTGTTAGAATATAAAGACCTTTGGTCCCTACTTCTGTTTTCTGAACATAGCTTCACATTAGCTAGATTGTTATTAGTCGAAACAGAGACATTTCTCCAACTGAATGTGTTGGTGGATTTATTCAGGTTTTTGCTAATCCCATACTACAGAAATTTTAATGGCATTTTTCACTAAAATGCACTCACTGAATAAATTGCCTTTGCTGCTTTTTGACAGACTGTTATTTGGGGAATAGGAAGATTTTCACCCTGATCCCGTCATGTTTGATTTCTTGACAACAAAGAAAATACCAACTTCTCTCAATATAAGTCATGTATCTCAGAACTATTAATGGATTGGGTTCACGAAGGAATGTCTTACATGTTGTTGACATTTAGGTGGCTGTTCTTTACACTGTTGTAAATGTTTCATTGAGGTGAACGTTTTTAAATGATGTATGTATCTGGTTTTTCTTTAGGAAATATTATATTTTTATTTGTATGTTTCACATTTTAAAGTTCCTCTCTATGTGCAGCTATTTTTATATTGCCAAAAAACTCATAAATACAAAATAAGAGAAAAGTGGAAAAATTGGTGAGCATTACCTTGTGATTTTTTTTAATGTTTTATGGGCCAGTTTCATGGAATTGGTATTCTGAGAATGTGTTGTATCTTATTACTATACATATAGCACAGACCTCTTATCTCACTAGTGTAAATATTTGAAAGATTGAATTCTCCATTTGATTTCTTATTTCAATTGTAATTCCTCCCTTTGCCATTATGGAATCAAAAGACCAGTGAAGACTTTGATTTGCAAATTAGAGATCATTGCCTTGTCTTCACTTTCTGATTTGTTTTTATTTGCTTTTTAAACTTGTTTCCAGGGTTCCTAGTTTGTGAGAAGCTGATCTTCAGAATTATTTTTACACTATTTATGACTTATTTTCATAATGTAAAAAGTGTGTAATTATTACAGTATTAATCCAAACAATGATAATGAATTGTATTGTTATAAAGTTTTAATGATATCCCTGAAAATGTTTGCCTGTGTTTTCTTTGATTTAGACACAGTTGACAAAGATTTTTATTCTGCTTTCCTACAGTATGGAGCTGACCATTCTACTGAGTGTCCACACTCCACTGTGGTGATAAAACAAAAACAAAAACAGGTGCCTTCTGGGTTATGTAATAATGTTTCCAAGCTGAACTTTCCCTTCCCAGTCACTTTCTTCCTGAATTTCCCGTTTCACCGGCTACCTGTTACCTTCTCCCATACATCAGTCACTGTATTAGTTATTTTTCTGTTGCTATGATAAAACATCATGACCAAGGGAACTTATAAAAGGAATAGTTTATTTAGCTTATGGTTCCAAAGGGGAGGCGTGGCAGCAGAGGTGGCTGGATAGGAGCAGAAGCTAAGCTCTCACATCATCACACAGGCACAGGAAGCAGAAAGCGACTGGAGATCTGGCAAGGCTTAAGAACTCTCTAAGCCCACCCCAGTAACGTGCTTCCTCCAGCATGGCCACACCGTCTAAGAACTCCCAAAACAGCACCACCAAAATGGCCATATACTTGGAGCCTTTGGGGGAAATCTCATTCAAACCACCACAGTCACCCTGGGAAGGTAGAGTGTCATATACAATGCCACTTCGTAACTATTCGGAAGTGATGGCTGACTATGAGCCTCCACCGAGGCGCAGGTTATTTGCAGCCTCCACGCGCTTTCCATTGCTCATCTGGCTTATGGCCGCTGCCACCCTTTTCAGCCCTTCTCTCCCTTCTCTCCCTGTGCTCTTCCCTTCCCCACTTCTGTTTCTCCTTGTCCTCTGCTAGGTCCTCCTCCTTTACCTGATCACTCAATGCCAGTCCTGGGGCTCTGACCTTCATCCTGTGCTTCTCGCCTCACAGCCTTTGTCCTGGGGGTGCTCATTCATTACCATGAAGAGGGAGTCCTCTTCTCCCTCCATTCTGACTTCCTGACAACTGTCAGAGCCATGTCCATCTGGACACCCCGAAAGTGCTCGTTAGGGTCACCTTCACCCCTGCTTTTCTTCCAGCCTTAAAAGCCTAGTAACTGGAGCCACCTTCCCCTGCTGCCCAGGCAAACAAGATGGCGACCTCAGTCACTTTAGACACACCCACCTCTCATAGCCCACCCGTTCCCCTAACAGACAGGACTTGTCCCATTACCACACCACCTTGTCTACCTAAGTCTCAGATTCACCCCTCCTCTCCACTCCCATCCCCACTGACTCAGCCTAGACTATCCTCAGCCCTCTTCTGTACGTCAGAAGCGCCTTCTAACAACCCATCCCCCAACAACTAATAACCTTGTCTCTTCTCTTCATACTCCCTATCATCCAAAGGTCACAGCTAACTAAAAAGGTTTTCATGTAAGATTTCTCATGAAAAGCATGCGTTTTAGGGAACTCCTACATAAGTGCAACTTCGGGAGTTGGTGAAATGGCTCAGCCGGGTAAAGGCAGTTGCATCAAACCTGATGATCTGAGTTCAATCCCTGAAACCCACATGGTAGAAGGGAAGACTCAGGTCTCAGAAATTGTTCTCCGACCTACACATGTGCACTATGGCATACAAAACACACACACACACACACACATAAATAAAATTATAAATGCAACTGCAGTTTTGATATTGCTTCTCAGTATAACCCAAGACCATATGTCAAAACAACCTTGCTGAAAACAGTTCTGCAGGGAACTTTAATCGTGTTCCTCCCTTCCCTTTAAATCCTCCAGTAGTCT